CAGTCTTTCTATATGGTAGTTAATGCTGGAAAATTTCAGATAAAAAAAAAAGAAACTTGAAGTAACAGAAGTGTGGTTCTGCAGAAGGATTATGAGAATACTGTCAATTGAACATGTGAGCAATGAAAGTTTTAGAGAAAATAGAAACAAAAAGGACATACTTAATGTCAGGAGATATTTGAAATTTCAAAGGAAAGAGGGCTTAGAAAATTTGATACTCACAGGACAGATTGAAGGCAACAGAGAGAAAAGAAAACAATGCATAAGCTACCTGGCAAGCTTGAATAAATAAATAGCAGAGCAAGGTTTTGGGGAGATAACAAAAAGACAAAATTTCTTAAGAGCTACAAAAGACAGGAAATTAAGAGCCATGATTGCCAAAACCCTGAAAAAAAATTGAAAAAGTAGTGGAGGGATATGTTAGAGAAAGCATATGGAGTCAAATTGAATATTGGCGTATTGTTAATGAAAACTGATTATTTAATGAAAAGTTGATTCAAGAACAGGAAATTGTGGAGAGCCATGATCGACTACATCCTGTGGGGGAACATGGTACATAGAAGAATTATTACTTGCTTTTACCCTTTATTATTATAATTATTATTTCCCTTATGTTTTTTTGGCTTGTGTAAGGTGGGGTATCAATTTACAATGAATTTACATAGGAAACTGAACACCCACTTTAAAATTGAGAAAATTTAAGAAAAAATAAAATTATTTATATATTCTTAATCTACAGAGCTTATTTGATAGTAATATATGAAAACAGAGAAAAATTACTTCTTGGAAGGGTTTGTTTCTGTATAAACACCAAAATCTCTTTGAATAATAAATCGCCATCTTAAAATTTTAGAAGCACTAATGTTGTAAGTCAAGGATCGATCAAGTGTGATATGCTTGCATGACTAACAAATTGCTTTTATTTTTACTCTTGTAATATTTGAACAACTTTCTATGATTTTCTTGTTGATGATTCTATGATTTACTGCAAATTGAACAGTTACATATTAAATTGAAGAAAGCTCTCTTTACTGCTAGTATGGATAAAATAACTCCTGAAATGACTAAAGAGATTACTAAAAGATTAATCTCGTGAAATCTCCGATATGTCTTTATCTGTTTGATACTTTGATGGTAGTGTCCATTTTTCATTTGATAAAATACAGTAGAGTTTTTACATCAGTGCACCTTGAACAATTTCAGTATCACTTAAATTCAAATCTTTACTATAAAATATAATTTCCCCTTGTATTTTTTAATTATTTTTGTCTTCATCTTTGCATACGATTTCATTTTTCATAATTCATTTTGTATCATGAACTTATCTGGTCTCCTCATAACAGGTTTTATTGTACACAATTTATATGCATCTTAATTACTAACAACTGTATTCAAACTTGAATAAATCTTAAGCGGCTACACTATTGATACTGTATGGCTTAAGCAACTCAAAATAATCAAAAAAGAAAATTTAAAATTAACCTTTTTAGCATTCAACATGCTCAAACCTGCCCCCATAAATACCGGCTTTCAAAGTCTCGCTGTTTGTAGTCAGTTTCTCATTGTTTGCATGACTTCTTGCATTATTTGCAATGAGGATCTCATATGTTATGGCTGAGTATACATGATGCAGGTTGAATATTAAGAGCTGATACTTACGGGGCAGGTTTGGTTCTGTGCTGCATATACCATGGAGCAAACATGTGAGCAACAACAAAGTTTTAGAGAAGATGGAAGCAAAAAGGACACTTGTACTTAACATCAGGAAGAGATAGTTGAAATTTCTAAGGCACGCAATGAGGAAAGAGGGCTTGGAAAATTTGATACTCACAAGCTTGAAGGCTAAAAACTGATTATTTAATGAAAAGTTGATTCAATCTTTAACTCGTATTTTAATTGCATGCTTGAATGCAAAACCTGTCCATCTTTTTTGTTTGTTTCCATTATGCTTTTTATTTTATTTATCTTTTCTTAAATATATAGTTTTTAATTTGCATGAAATCAACTTATTTTCTTTTGTTTGGGTTATCATTGCATTAAATTTTTTTCTTTTGATCTTTGCATTTTTTTCTTTTTATCTTTGATGAAAATATTTGACTTAAATGCTTGAAGTGTTTAAATATATTTATCAATGAGGCTAAAAAATGTTTTTTCGAAAAAGAAAAACAATTATTTTGAACATGTTGAATATTGCTCATAAGTTTATAGGAATGTTTATCTTTGTTAGAATAAATGTATGTGAATTTTCATATATAAGTATTTGGGACCCCTCTAACATTTTTTTTTTTTTTTTTTTTTTTTTTAAATAATAGGGAACATCTCGAGAGTTCCTGTTACTTTTTAAGCTTATGTAATAATTCTTTTCTCAGTATTCTTATGATGTCCTGTTAATCATTAGATGTGTGGGTGGTGTGATGGATAGTGGCTTAGAACAAGAAATTGGAGAGCCTTCCCTTCTTACTTAACAAAGGCAAAATGTGTTAGTAAAAAAAGAACTTTGTCTCATTTCTACACTTGATTTGATTTCAGCATGGCTGTTTCTGGCTGTTGACTTCAAATTCCATTTATATATATATATATATATATATATATATATATATATATATATAATATGCAATTATATATATTATTTATATATTATATAAGTGCAGTACTTATTGGAAAATGCTTAATATCAGCCATAGAGATATCATATTTAGTTGCTTTTATGTGAGTTTGTGACCTTGGGTTTCATGGCCTTTGCAATCATCTGATGTGTGTCTGCGTATGTATGAGTGTCGTTCTGATGACAATTTCTCCTCCCACTATTATAAAATGCTTACAACCATAAATAAATCCAAAATTTCAAAATTAATCAGTTTGTCTGACAATTGCAAGCATGAAATCCAGGGTCACAAAAGTAGCATCAATGCAACTAAATATTTTAATATATATATATATATATATATATATATATATATATATATATATATACACACACACACCTCCACAAAATCACTAAAATATCAGCATACTGTTATGAAAACAGTTTTATCGTTAAAATTATCGCTGTTATTAAAAGAAAGGATCAAGTATTTTGGGGATATTTAATTAAATTGTTTTACTCCTTTTTAGAACAGTTGAAATTTTGATTACAAATTTTTTTTTTTTTTTTTTGTATTAGCAGTTGTACTAACTTAGCATAGCAAATTTTAGCCTCTTTTTTGTATTGACAAACACATTAATTTGGAAATTCTTGCAAAAATCAAATAATTGTTGGATTTTAAAGAAATTTTCAGATCATATATATATATATATATATATTTTTTTTTTTTTTTTTTTTTACATGTTTCACCCCCTTTATTTCAATGTAATAATTTTTAGAGACTATATTAGTTAAAAGCAAAATTCTTAAAGCATTATTTATTTAGAGAATTTTTTAATTGTATTTATGAATAATATATATTAAGGACAATATTGTCTGAAGAAAAAAAATTTTTTTTTCAATAAATTTACAAATTTTTTTTTCACTGTTAAAAAAATTTTAATTAGAATAATTTATATTTTTATTTTTGAAAAACATTTTAATAAAGAGATTTGCATTTTCATACCACTTTGCAAAAATTTCATAAAACAATTTTTTCCAATCAATTTAAATTACTTTTGAAATACAGCATAGTATTTTGTTGATTGGAAATATTAAATTTAAGCTTGAAATTAAAACTAAAATAAAAAAACTTCAAGAAAGATTTTTCATTATTAAAGATCCATTTTAAATGTTGGGTATCTTAAGTATCACATTTTGTGGAGGTCCCTATATATATATATATATATATATATATATATATATATATATATATATATATAAATAAATTAGAATTCTAATTTACCGGTCTACTAAGTGTATTTAGCCCTCTACGTTTTCGTTGTTTTTATAATCGCGTAGGTTTTTTCTTTGAGCTAAGAACTTAAGACGCTTGACGATTTTTTTTCGCCTTGTTCTGATGTTTTTAGTTCTTTCTTTTTTTACTTCCAATTTTTTACTCGGGTACCAATTTGCCCTCAGGTATCTATGTTGACTTATCCAAGGTTTTTCAAGTGAGTAATATTGTTAAAATATATATATATATATAAGGTTGGTGCAAAAATAATGACGTAATAATGTTGTTTTTTGACATTTTTTAACGTCAAAAAACGACATTCTTACGCCAGTATATATATAGTACTAGTATTAATAAAATGGTGCTCAATGTAATACAACAGAACTAATAAGTATACATATTATCCCTCACTGGTAGCACAACTCAGTTTCATGCACAAAATTGTTGCGATAGCAGTGAGGGATAATATTGTGTGTGAGAGAGAGAAAGCAAGAATAAATGAATATGTAAAGAAATAAAAATAAACTGAATTGAGGTAAAAAGCAATTTTTTTACTTACAGTTAATTTAAAAATCTAACTTTCAGCCATTTAACATGAATCCCATTTTGTCTTCATGTAGATTTTGTTCAAATAAACTTTTTTTTTTCTGATGATGCCAGTCCATAAGTGAAAAAATAAGATAGTTGCTTTCTGAGTCGCCTTAATTATTTTACACACACACACACACACACACACACAGAGGAATGATTGCTGAGATATTTTTAGTGCCCCCACCAAAAAAAAGTAAGAAAAAAAATGTTTAAAAACAAATCTCTTGTGGAAGAATACAAACTCGTCTATTTTCTATTTCAGACAAAACTTCAAGAAGACTTTGACACTGTGCAGGCCATGCTTGAAAACAAGGAAAAAGAGATTGAGTCTCTGACCAAAGAACTAACGGACGTACGATCGCAGATGGAGAAGAGCCAGATTGAAACTGATGTTGCGGTCAGTGAAAAATTGGATGATGTTGTGTCTGACCTCGTGGTATGTGTGTATGCATGGATTAGAAGACCCTAATTGTTTACTGACCGCATGGAATAAAACATCACCAAGGTCCATTTCCTCTCTTTAACAAAACGTTCTTGATTACCTTGGCTTACAACCATATCACATTGAAACATTGGTTCTTGTATGACCACTGAAGTTAAGCAACATTGAGCCTGGCCAGCACTTAGATGGCTGACCACTTAGTAATACCAGGTGTTGTAATCTTGGATGTGCAGGTGGGGCAATGGATAATGAATCAGAATTGGTAATTGGAGAGCCAAGCTGGGTTTGTTATATACACTTACATTCATACATTACCTTCGGAAATGTATGAATGCATCTCTTCTGCCTTCAGCTGTGGGTTAATTAGTAGGTTTTGTGTCAGTAAATCATTATTATCTCTAGAATATTTTTACAATGTAAAATACATATCTTGGCTTTAAATAACCTTCAAATGGTTGATATGCTGTAACAAAAAAAAAAAACAATTTGTCAATCTTGATCACTTTGTTACTGGACATTGGAAGCTGTCATAAAATGTTATAAATAATTTTTATTGATAAAAGCTAATTACTTTGTCCAACCGATTGTAAAAAATTCTCATGGTTATTTTATCTCTTCAACTTAGTCTGGCACAAGGTCTCATTAGTAGAGCACTCAAAAGGTAATAAATTAGTTTTACTTTTTAAATACTATGACTTTGAAGGAAATAGGCAATCATGATTAGCTACAGATTCCTTTTTCTTTATTGTATGTAAATTACCATGATTTCTTGGGAAAGATGGTACAGTGATCCCTTCATGATATAGGCGATTAAGGCTCTCCACAGATTCCTTTTCTTTATTTGTAAATTACCATGACTTGGGAAAAGATAGTAGAGTATTCCCTTCAGGATATTACTGATCATGGCTCTCCACAGAATCCTTTTCTTTGTGTAAATTACCATGACTTGGGAAAAGATAAAGTATTCCCTTCAGGATATAAGTGATCATGGCTCTCCACAGAATCCTTTTCTTTATTATCTGTAAATTACCATGACTTTTTAGAAAAGGGACTGGAATGGTTTACTACTGTTTCTTCAGTTTTTAATTCAGATTTGTTCCACCCCGCCTCTTAGAAAAGGTTAAAAAGCCTAGTCTATTCTACAATTTAACCCATAGGTGGGTGAAGAAAATATGTGTTCATGGTTTCTCCGGGGTATTTCTGCTAATGTGAATGCAAATCTCAGCTTAAATTTAAGCACTTCTCACTGATTCCATTTCCTGTACCAATAACAGATATGCAAACGTCACATCTTTTCTTTTATGTGGCATACCATTCCAGCATGTGAGCATTCATGGCTCTCCACAACTTCCAATCACTTGTATCTCTAAGCAGTGTTGGTTCTTTTACTGTCCCTCCCACTCTCTGTTCGTCCACCCATCTACACAAGCTTCGTAGGGAGGTTGTTCATTGTTCTCTTCTGCCCTTCTTGCACATTGCCCAACCTAGATATGGGCAGTGGAACAAGAACAGTTTACTCCCATAGATTAAATAAAGGGTTCATTTTGAAGTTCCCTGTAGATTTCCTGGATTTACATACACTTGATGAAGGCCAGAGGGCACAACAGCTGAAATGTTGTAATAACAACAACAATGATGAGGATAATAGTGTAAATAATGATACACATGTAGCAAACTTGCATTGGTAAGTTGTAAGTGCAACTCTAGCAGCTTCTTATAAACTGCTGATTTGTGGAAACAACTCCCAAGAGGATGTTTTCCCAATCACCACAATCTTAACCTGTTCATCTTTTTAAGGGTTAATTGTTATCTTCCCCACATATATGCACAAACTGTGCCTCTCGAGTGGCTCTTGGGCAGAAACCATCCAGTCCCTTAATTAAATGAATTTTTATTTAAATAATGAAGAGTCAGTTCCCTTTTTTGGTGAAAAGTCATGTCTGAGAAGCTTCAGAAATGTTACAAGTCAGCAGGGCTGGATTTTAGATAGTACAGGCCCTGTAGCATATAAAGCGGGGTCTGAAATTAAAAAAGTACATATAAGTAGTAAATAATTTATGATTTAATAACGTAAAGATAGTTTGCAAAGCAGATATATATTTAACTTCTGTCAGCATTATTTATGTTGACAGAAGTTAAATATGTAAAAATATACACAAATCCATAAAAATATGAAGCAAGTGATTCTAATGAAATATTTAAGTAGATTTTAATGCAGCTCCCAGACATTAACATTGTCAGATTTTAAGACGCTGATTTCATCAGAGAGCTTGAAAATGTGGGAGTGTATGTTACTAGATTAATCCTGTACTGTGGGTCTTTGACAGCCTTTGTACTGTCAGAATATTTTCTCTAAACAAAACCTAAATACTAATACCAATTTATATTTGTTGAATACTTTATTCAGATTCTCCATTTCTTTCTTTCTTTTTTCTTTTTTTCTTTTCCTTTTTCTTTTTGTTCTTTCTTTCTTTGTTCTTTCTCTTTTTTCTTTTCTTTCTTTAAGGTGGGGAGGGCTGGTGATGTGCATGATTGATTTAAATTCTTTTTATTTTGTTGTGTTCTTTGAATCAGATATATTTTTCAGTTTTCATGGAGAAGCAGACATTTGCATTTCATTTTCAAAATGTAGAAAAAAAAAGGTGGCGTGATTCATATTTCATTAAACTGAAAACAAAAAATTGCTATTTAAATTTAATTTGCAAATAATATTTCTGACCCTTGGCATGGCATCCATCAGTCTAGAGAGACTACAGATCTGCACTGAAAGAGTTATACTGTCTCCAGTGCATAGACCTGGGCAGGATTTTTTTTTTTTTTTTTTTTAATGTGGTAGTTGCCCAAGCAACACATCTCCCTCCTCCATGCCACCAATGAAATCCAAGGGTAAAGTAAAGGCTAATACAACTTAGCACCAGTGATGCCAGAACAAAATTGCACATGACATCAGACTGTCTTAGGGACTCCTACTCTATATTCCAATTCAGATTTGTTCTTGTCCTAGTTGGGTTGCCAACCATGGCTACAGAGCCCAGACTGCCCTACTATTTACCCACAGTTGGAGGTTTTTGAATTCTAGACTGGTTGCCACCCAAAGCACTAGAACCCAATCTGTCTTGCTATTTATTCATAGTTGGAGGCTTTTTGAATTCAATTTCCTTTTCCTAGACTGGTTGCCACCCAAGTGTATAGAATCCAATTTGTCTTATTTCTTCATAGCTGGGAGAGGAGAGATAGATTCATACCTTTCTGAAGGACATTAGCATATATGTGAATGTAATGAACTCTCCTGGACATTCAACCTCGGCTCTCTAATTTCTCAATATGAGCTGCAATCCATTACCCCCCACCCCATGATCCTTATTTGGGAAGATTTCCCTCTGGTGTCAGAGGTCAGTGTTGGAACACAAATATAAAAAGCCAAGATCTTAAAAGCTGATCATCATGGCAGAAAATCTTTTCCTACTCTTCCCGTCCCTGCAAAATTCTGCTTCTCAAACATAAATTAAGAGAAAAGAAGCAAATTTATCTGATGAATATTTACATTTTCTACACGCAAACTATTTTCCTTGTCTTTATTGTTATTATTTCAGCCATTTTGCCCTCATCAGGTGGTTGTTGATCTGGGTAACCTCATGGAATTTTAAATTAAAGTTTACCTGGATCAACAACCATCTGTAGATGGTCAGATGGCAAAATGATTGAAATGTGATAACAAAGATGGGGACAATAATCTGTGTATAAATAATATAAAAAATGATAAATCCTCATCCCAGAAACTCAAATAGAAAAAAAAGAATTTCCTTGAAAACTGTTAAAAATTTAATAACTGGAAACTTAATTTTTTTTTTTTTTTTTTTTTTTCAAGTTGTTGATAAAAATTTTGTTTTCAGAAATATTGCTGTGGAGCTTAATAAAATTTATTAGCTGTGTTTTTGTAAAAAAAGAAAAATTTATTAGCCTAAATAGAATAACTGAGAAAGACAGTATGTGAAAAACAGAATCTTATCACTTTCTCTAGTACTGTTTCCAGTTTGAAGACAAAATCCTTGGACCAACGCTGTTTCTGATCTTCATTAATCCCCTTCTAAAAGCTTCTGTTCTTACTTGTGGAATTCACTTTCAATTGCTTGCCTGAGAACTATAATCTTAAAAAATGCAATGTCATTTGCTATCTTCTGTCTTCTTGAATGCTGTTCCTTTAATGTCCTTTCCTCAGTCCTCCCTTCTAAAGTTTTCTCATTCACTTTCGCTCTCTGAAATCCCTTGGCTTCTATTATTGCCTTGCTTAAAGTGAAATGATAAAGAAAAAAAATGTGTTTTCATAACATATTTAAGTATTTCAAGCAATCCTGAGGAATCATCGTTGGCTTTATCTCGTATGCAAGAAAATTTCTTCTTTACTGATCACTTTCTTTATGATGATCGCTAAATTTGCTGCCAATGTGCAGTTTCATTCTCTATCACTGTTTGGCTTTGCAAGAGTTGGAGGTGAAAGAAAATCAGAGTAGAAGATGGTGTGAATTTGTTTAAGGTGGATCTCAACTTGCCAGGGAAGTAACCCACACTCTTGATTTCATGACCTTCCTCTGCGGCACACATGGGATGAGGCCTTCAGAATCCATTTAAGAAACTGCAACAGACTGCCACTGACTCTATTATAATTTTGAGTGACTCTTTCTGTAACCTGTCTGCCATGCATAGTCCTCTTTGTCTTCTGGTTCAACCGTTGAGATCTGTTTTAATCGTCATCCATTTGTTCCACCATTGGAGGTCTTTGGGGTTGGTCATGCTTAGTCTGGATCCTTGTCTTCAACCTTGCCGCCAAGGGTGGCCCTACCAGGAGTTCAGAACTCCCAATGACATCTTTGGACCATGAATGCCCCTCCTTGAGGAATGTCTTTTGAAGGTGTGTGCAATCATGGCTCTCCACGACTCTACTGAGGCTTACAGTTACATCACGTTGGAACACTATTTCTCATACAATCATGAAGTTAAGCAACATTGAGCTGAGTTATTACCCGGATAGGTGACTTCTTGGTAATACTAGGTCCTGTGAACTTGGATGTGCAGGTGGTGTAATGTATAAGGGCTCAGAATTTTTAATCAGGAAGCAGAGTTCCACTTCCAATTGGGTTCGTTTTATTCACTTACATGGAAAAAAACGTTGAAACCTATGAATCCGCCTCTTCTCCTCCAGTCATGTGTTAATTAGTAAGC